TAGGGGGCTGCATGATGCTTAGTGAGGCATTTATCTAGTGGTTAGAGCAGAGGCCTAGATTATATTTCCAAATTAGGTTAATTAGACATATTTTAACTGCTCTGTACATCAATTTCTTTCTCTGTAAACTGAAGATGACTTCTAATACATACCCAATCTTTGTAAAACAACACAAGATTCTCAGATGAAGTGTCTAAATTATGTTGTATTCCACAGACAGTGTCAAGGGTATGCTCCCCAACCCCTCAGAATCAGTAGCATGCTCTGCTCATGGAGTACAAGAAGGCAATAGCACATCCATAGACTAGGAACTGTCCAAAGAAGATCCTTTAACCTGGGGCTGGTCCACACTAACCCCCCACTTCGAACTAAGATACGCAACTTCAGCTACGTTATTCACGTAGCTGAAGTCGAACTATCTTAGTTCGAACTTACCGCGGGTCCACACGCGGCAGGCAGGCTCCCCCGTCGACTCCGCGTACTCCTCTCGCGGAGCAGGAGTACCAGTGTCGACGGCAAGCACTTCCGGGATCGATCCCAGAAGATCGATTGCTTATCACCGGACCCAGAGGTAAGTATAGAAGTACCCCTGGATAGGCCCCTTAAGCAGTTCAGCCGCCTACTTTCTATATTAGTAAATGTGTTGAGTTTAATGCTAACAAGATAAAACCTTGAAAGTTTTGTATGCGCACACACATGGTTTTTCTTAGGTGCCCTACACCAGAACAGAGGATATATATCCAAAACATGGAGTGTAATGAGAAGTTATCAGGCTTAACTACATTATGCTGCAGTATTTGACAGCAGAAACAATAAGTACCTAGTATTTCAGACAATACAAATGGGACAATTTGTCTTTGTTCCTCATACCACATGCTCCAATATAACTCTCAGCAGACCCATAACAATAGCATTTATAGTCTATGAAAGCCTAATAAAAGTACTAGAAAATGCTTTCATGCTACTTCAAGAGAGTGACTAAGATCCTCACACATTAATCGTTTTTACTAGTAGACTCAGGCACACAGTATCCATAGGAAGACTGGGGTTTTGCCACTGTAAGTTTTCTAAAATCCACTAATGCAACTAAAAGTAACTTACAGTTTCATTACTATAGAAATGCAGAGGTCCAGAAATAGTTTTGTTTAACCTTTATATCACAGCTGCTTTAAAAGTTATCAGCTTTCTGATACAGCAGTTTGGCCACATTTGTTTTGTCTCAGTCAATGGTGGAAGGGTCAATTGGTAAGACTTTGACCCTCACCATAAACTTGTATTTATCTAGGTTGCCAACATTGCTGAGTTTGCCAACATCTTAGAAGATAGAAAAAACTATTTGCTTTTTTATTTTAAAGGAAGAATATCCTGTTTTATTGTATTAATTCACTAATATAATAAAAATTACTTAAAAAATAATCAACTGTTGCTTTTACAAAAGTAGGTGTTCAGTTGGTTTTAACTCAGCATAACGAAGTGACAGCATGAAATCTGCCCTTGGCTGGAACTCAAACCTCTGCCTATCTACCATTAATAGGGCAAGATTACAGATTCTAATAAGCACTCCAATAGATTGACTTTCACACTGGTTGTGTCTTCTTCAGTGAGAGCCCAAATGACTTTCCCCTTATTATCTCTATGTATACTGCCAGAATAGCAGCTGGCTTTAATATATTTTTGCCATCTGTCCTAAAGATATGACATGACCAATATGTTGCCAATCCATGACTTTATCATGTCTCAATATTTGTTGTTTCTTAAAGCCCCAGATCCTGGATTCAGATAATTAGATGAGAATTGCAGTTTTCAATTTAGAAAAAAATGTCTAGCCCTCACGGTTGCAGAGAAGAGTTTGGAAATGTAATCCAACTGTACACAAATGGCTCAAAAATCAAAAGGCAAATTAAAGCGCCCAAACATTATTATTGACTTAAATACCACAAATTTAAGAAAACCTCCTGGTGCTTTTTGGGGGCCTGACTCATGATTTTTGAACACTTGGAATTGGCAATGTTAGATAAACTTGGAAGTGGCTATTCAAAATAACGACCGACCTGTAAGGAGTAATATACCTGCAGCTCACCTTTAGTTAATTTTAAGATTCGCCTCCCACCCCCAATACTACTTTTTACATACAGTTGTGATGCCGATGAAAGGTTTTGTCTCAAAAAAGCAGTGCTCTGGTTATGGCAGGCTCTCTCTCCCCTCTCTCCTTCCCTCCCCCGTCACCCCACGAAGCTCATCACAGTTAGTGTACTGTAATCATTTTCTCCTCCAGATTTTCCTTTTAACCTGAATATTTTGAAAATACTATCTTATAGATTTTCTGGAGTCCAATTCAATCAAAATAGGTCATCATCAAAACTATAAACTAATACAATTCATGCAAAGACAACAGTTTTCTTTTCTGATTACTTGTGTAGCAAACAAATCTTGTAATTATGCTAGATTTCCAGGTAGGAGTGATAATATTGCTACTCCATTTCCAGAGTTACTCTTGTTAACTTCTGTACAACTACATAGCCAGACTTACTTGGAAGCTTGCTGTTATATCCATTACTTCTTTCACTGTGTGCTTACATATGTCAACATTTTATTAGTATTTGTTGACTACTCATGCACATTTAGAATTAATGTTTTTCTGCTCCCTGTTGGCATTTAGTAGCATCATTTGTACATGCCATCTCAAGAACAATGCCAAACATGCTCAGAACCACCATTCTGATTCTCTGTGCACAATATGCCTATTAGTTTCAGTTTTGGCTATGCTGCTCCTGTTACCGACAGGCATCCCTCGAGTGCCTGAGAAAGGGCATGCACCAAAGTAGAAACTTACTATGAGAAGTGCTTTCAAGGGCATCAAAAACTGAAAAGAAAATATTTATCCCTTATTCTTTTCATCTATAATAATCAGAGGTTACTGTTACAAAATTGATTTTAATTGGACTCTGCATGATTGGATACATTTGCTGAACTGAGGTAATAATTTGATCCAAAATGTTATTGACTGATAAGACTCATGGGTCACTTCAGAACTATACTTATGCGAGCTAATAAGCTAAAAGATATTGGTGGATCCCCACTGAAGTAATGTTGATGCCTGTTAAGCAGTTTAAAATGTTATTAAAGGTAAACAACATGATTCATCAATGGACAATGAACCACTTAGCAAATAATTATGTCTCAGAACATTATTATACCATCATTCACTCAGGTATTATTATATTGTCATTCACTCTAAACCATAGAATGGTCTGTCAAAACAATAACATCAATGCCTATAGAAGTGTTGACCAAACAATACAGTCAACCAATAAATAGTGGTACTTACAAAGATTCCAATAACTGTGGGTGGGTGAAACTAAAATGACTATTCAACACTGATTGCTATTCTTCTGGAGGGAGGGAAGTGTTTCTTTCTGTAAAGCCTCCTGAACATTAACTATTTGCTATCAACTACTTTACCCGGTGTGAAACTGTCACTGTCACTAAATCACCATATAAGGGTCATGACATGGCATTAAAGAGACCCTGTGACACACTGTGATACAAGTCAACTTGCTTGAAAATATAAACATCCCTGAACTCCATGGCACAAAGAGAAAATAAAAGACACAATCCCAGAGCAATACCAGCTAGGATTGTGCTCAAACACCATCTAACTAGATAATTACAGTAACTCCTCATTTAAAGTTGTCCCGGTTAACACTGTTTCGTTATTAGGTTGCTGATCTATTAGAGAACATACTCGTTTGAAGTTGTGCAATCATCATTGGTGAGTACAGCATTAAATTGTTTAAAATTATTTAAAACTTATACTGTATATGTATATAATGACTTTTGTCTGGTGAAAATTTTTCCCTGGAACCTAACCCCCACTATTTGCATTAATTCTTATGGGGAAATTGGATTTGCTTAACATCGTTACGCTTAAAGTAGCATTTTTCAGGAACATAACTACGTTAAGTGAGGAGTTACTGTATATGCCAACAGAGGATAAATGTCATTCACTTAATGTTAATTCAATAATCTTAGTACTGCCAACCCTAAGCATTCAAAAATCATGAATCAAACCCCAAAAAGTCAGACTACGTAAAATATGAGATTTAAAAAACATAATTTGGGGTCCTTTTTATTTGCCTTCTGGTGTTTGAGTCATTAAAGTTCGTTAGAGTTCAGACTTCTCTGCAATCACAAGCTTCCTTAAATGATTTTTTTTAAAGCAAAAATCCTCATGTGACCACCTGACTCCAGTAGCTGGAGCTTTATGAGCTACATAACACAGAACAAGACTTGTGATAAATCATGAATGTTGCCAGTCTGCATCCTCAACACCGCTGTGAGGTAGGAAAAGGGTCTCAGCCCCATTTATGGGCCGGGAAATGAGGCACGGCGCAGTTTAAGTGACCTGCCCAAGGTCTCATAAGAAGACACTGGTGGAGCCAGGAATGAATCCAGATCACCCAAGACCTTAACCACAAGATCACCCTTCTCTTTTTGCAGGGGTTCTCAAAGTGGGAGTCAGGACCCCTCAGGAAGTCACAAGGTTATTATGTGGGGGGGTCACAAGCTGTCAGCCTACACCCCAAACCCCACTTTGTATCCAGCATTTATAATGGTGTTAAATATATATTTAAAAAGTGTTTTTTAGTTTATAAGGGGGAGGGGGCGTCACACTCAGAGGCTTGGTGTGTGAAAGGGGTCACCAGTACAAAAGTTTGAGAATCACTGTCTTATTGGCAGGACATCCCCCAGGGCCCCTCTGAGCCTGAAACCCTTGTGGGAGGCCACCAGGGACCCCTCCCATGGGTGAAGCTGCGGTGACTGGGGACCGCGCCTACAGGGCGCTACGGACGGGACCCAGGCTCCTACCCTTCAACTCTGACGCTACAGGCTGCCCCGGACGGCGAGTTTCAAGGGCCCTTCTCTTCTCACAGCCTGATAGCTCCAGGGTTTTCCCCACGCCCCCTGGAGCAGCGAGACGCTGACATTCTCACACTCACCCAGCACGCAGAGCAAAACGGCAGCGCTCCGTCGGACTGTTAAACGCTTCCGGGAAAAGGCGACACCATAACAACAGACACACCCATTGGCTTCATAGGCCCCGCCTTCTTCGCATGCTATTGGGGCGTAAGCCTCTTTTCTCCCGACCTCTCATTGGCTCGCTCCCGTGTCGCTCAAGTAGGGTTGCTGCGGCGTTCCAAATCTCGGCTCCTCTCTTCGATCTTGCCCCTCCCCGCACCTGGTGCGGCTCTTCCGTTCTGTGCGCTCTCCTCCCCGCACGAATCTCCGCTCCGCTTACCTCAGCTCTCCCCCCCCCCCAGCTCCTCTCCCAACGGCTCTCCCCTCTCCCCGTAGCAGTTCCCGCCCTTGTGGGCCTTGGTGATGGACCCAGGACAGGGGTTACCTGGGGGTGGTGGCCCCTAACCCAACAGCCCTGCTCAAGTGCCCTCTTGTTTGGGAGGGTGGGGGTTGCAAAGCACAGGCAGATGGAGCATGGCTGCTGGGAGTCACCTCACACACCTCTCTGTGCTGACTAACTTTGACTGCGGGGAAGTTTGTTCAGGTGTGATGCGCTCCAGGCCTGATTGTCCATTGCATGACGCCCCTTCTATGCCACCTCAGCATGCAGATATGGCCCTTCAGGGCTCTACACACCTGCCACACTCCCCTCAGTGGCATGTGGCCAGGGTGGCTGTGGTCCAGCTAGTCTCATTTGCCAGAAAGGCTCCTTGCATCCCCCAGCCACATTTGAGGAGCCCTGAACTTACTTTGAGCTGGGTGCTGGGCAGGACCCCGGTTTATCCCAGAATGGGGAAATAAAGAGGGGGCTTTGTCCTCAGTTACATGGTCAAACGCAGCATGGCCAGAACTGATAATCCCGTCATGATTCTACCTGGAACTGCAGGTTTAAACAAGGATGGGGTCAACTCAGCCGTTCACCTGCCCAAACTGAAATAGTGACTCAAGGAAGATCTTAAACACTTAGGTTCTGCCTGCTTTTCTGGGCAGATAATGGCAGTAGCATGGCTTCAGCGGAACCTCAGTTGTAAATTCAAACTGCCTTCTGGCAGAGCCTCCAGGAGAAGGTAGTAGTAGAAACATTGACTGCTCTCTCTGAGGGCTAATACCTATCCCGTGAGGATAAATCAAGCCCAGTATATAGAAGGTATGAAAACCATTCTTTAATATGAAGCACTATGAAAGGAAAAGAACTTCCAAAATAGCAAGAGCTATTCATGCTATTAGATCTAAACCAGGATGTTAGGCTGATGTCCACAATAAAACTTCAACATGCATAAATGTAGAGAAAAATAGATTTCAGTTTTGAGTTTCCAAGTTGTTATTAAACACAGCATTCCAAATTTAACATAAGGCAAATTACACAAGTCTATCAATCTGCATGACTCTGCAGCTGATTAGTTAATTGTACAGTTTTTGAAGTCAAGGAGAGGTGAGAGCACACAGTGCCTGACAGCAGTTACACAGTAGCATGCAGCATTAAGGCCAAAGATTGTTTAGAAAAATCTATTGCATTCCACTGGGTTTTATTTAACACATTTATAGGAGATCTAGCAGATCATTTTGACATTAAGCAGAAGAAATCTCTATTGGGAAGTAATGTCTTAGAAAATGCTTTAGAACGGTTGATTAGAGTACAGTAAAACATGTCATAAGCTATCACTCAAGAGACCAACCATATTGGTTGTTTACCAGAGGTGGATCTGTAATAAAGGACAAATAAAATATGCTGAGATACTTTAAGGTGGTCTTTTAAGACAGGAGGTTTCTTAATAAGGATGGTACTTTGAATAGGTTTGAATGTAATTTGAATGAACTGTGTTCCATGGAAACTTGATATGTTGTCTTTGTGATAGTTTGGTCATGTTTTTCTATTTTAGCATTTTGGTGTGGTATCCTTCCCATAATAAGACTATGTTTTTGTAAGATGCTAATAAGGTCTTTTAGTTAAGGAATCTAGGGCAGCAGTTCTTTCTTGCTGAAAGTATTTAACCAAATTAGAAATGCTTCTTTGCTTGATACCTATTAAAAATCCTCAGATGTTAAGGCTCTGCATGTCTTCTGTAGAAGTTGCATCCCTGGAGAAGAGGAAGAGGCAAATTCTCTATGGTTTGAGAATGTAGATAACTGTGTTGGCTTTCACTGATAAGCCACATATTTGCCTGTTTTCTACATGTTTGAGAAATTTGATTAGTTTTACTGTGGCATTTGAAGACTTTGTTTAAGGAGGTTTCCCCAAAGCAGACTATTAAGGGGTAGCTAGATTTTAGGGTGACCAGACAGCAAATGTGAAAAATCAGGACGGGGGGGGGGGGGCAATGGGAGCATATATAAGAAAAAGACCCCAAAATTGGGACTGTCCCTATAAAATCAGGACATCTGGTCACCCTACTAGATTTAGTGGGGCTATTGCCCATTTAATCCCCTGCTTCTACTTCCTGTGCCTATAGTATTTTTTTTTCTCCCTCAAAAGCCCTAGTTGCTATTATGTCCTTTGTTAACCTCCATCTTTTGAGGAACTGCATGTAGCTTCTATTACTAACCAAACTACAATAGTCCATTCTCAAGTGGATACTGATCACGTGTTTGTTTTGAGTGCATTCAGTGAAAGAAGTGGTAGAGATACTGAGGGAGGGGGCCATAGGCCACTGGTGGTCTGTGAAGCACTTGCTGATTGTCTACAGAACTGAATGGTCACATGGTACTGGCTCTTCCTGATTATTTCTAGATGTTTCATTAAAAGAGCTAAAAGAATACATTATACTTTCCTAATTTTACAGTAACTGCCTATATGGAAAATTATAGCCACAACAGGGTTACATAATTGTGAATGTGAGGGGAAATGTTTCACACAACTGTGATTTAGAGAAGACATGGCCTATAGGCTGTTGTGAGGCTTCTGCTGAATATGTCACTTGACACTAATGGTTTGGTTAGCTAGATCCTACAAGCACTCTGTACATAAATCCTACTGAAGCCAAGGGAAATTCCAGGCAGAGGGCTCTTACAGAATCACGCCCATTATTTACTACAAAGTTTACCCATCGGCAAAGTTATAATTACACTGTTGTATCTCACAAGGGTTTTGTCAAGAAGACTGAGATTTTCAGAGCTGATTAGTGATTTTGGGTACCTCCATTTTGGGTTGCCCAGTTTGACAACAGGAAAAAAGGGCCTGATTTTCAGGGGGTGTCAGACTGAGGAAAAGCTTGAAGATGTGATAAGTGAAATTTAAAGGCTTAAAAAAAAAGGGCAAACAATCATAAATTTGTTTAAAAATGATGAATTTTTAAAAGACTGATTTTTGGCCCCTCTAAATATTTGAATGCTTGATCTTGGTGATGCTGAGTTTATGTATTATGCTGGTGCCATAAATCCTTGCACAACCCAATCCTATATCTTGGCACTCAAGTCTTTCACGGAAATCAATGCAGATTTGGGATATCTGAATGCAAGATCAGGCTCCTATTTATTTGGCTGCTTGGACTTTGGGGCTAAAAGTTCTTCCTGTCCGGATGTCATGTTTCCTTTTCAGTTTGTTACATGTGCTTTAGAGTCTGCAAAGTGCAAATCTATGGTGTTTCAGAAGGATTTTTAATGCCGTGTTTTGTTTTGATCTTTTGTTAATCATCATCGTATTTCAAGTGATTAAACAAATTAAAAGCATTAAATCATAATGTATTCCCAAACGGAATGGGACCAGTGAACTTCTCTCTCACTCCTAGGGGAGGTTAATTCCACTTTGACGGACACTCATGCTGTCCAATGCCAAACTGCGCTAGCAGCCAGTGACCAGACTAGAGGAACTTTACCAATGAGATAGTCGTTGCTGGGTTTAACAAAACAAAGATGCCCAATGGGAAAAACCATGGCTAGCGAGGACTGCGTCGTTTTGTTTGCTGACTGCAGACGGACAGCTGCGAACTAGGGGGCAAGAAGCAGCAGTGGCAGGACCATTTTCTGGATTTGGAGCACAATTCAGCTGTTTTCCACCCCTATCTCCTCTGCTCCCAGCACAGACACACTAACCAGCCTTGCTGTCCTTAAAGGAGGGAGGGGAAACCTGAATTCCTGTTTCCATCACTCAGTATTTTTACCCCCCACCAAAGTTTTACTGATGAGAAAGGATTAACGCCCCCACCCTGTAATAGAGTTGGAAGGCTGAATAACAGTACACGCTAACTTACAGGATCCAACTGCGTCTCTGGTGGGCATCTTATCGAGGGTCTTTATAAAACGGCGTGGGGAAATTAGGCGTTATACAAACTTTACAGTTGACTGTTTAAATGTAAGCCCTAAGGGTGTGTGTGCACAAAACCCCTTTAAAAATACATTATTCCTCAACCTCTTTTTTTGGGGGGGGAGTAGACTTTTGAGGAGGAGTATAAGGAAGGTTGTTTCTCCGTGAGAGATGAAGAGCGCCAGACCCTGGATGTGGGAGTGGAAGACCCTATAGAAAGATAATGGCAGCAAGTTTATTTGTCTTTTAAAAAGAAGGAATCCTAACTGTGTTTTTTAAAAAGAAAAGCAGCAAAAAAGGTAAATGCAAAAAAAGGGTTAAACACTCCTTCTCTTTCCTCCCCTTCTTTCGATAAAGAGGTTTTCTTGAATACCCTTTGTAAATGAAGAGGGAGGAATTTGGAGGTGGGAGGGAGGAAATTCAGCCCGAGTCGGATGCATCTAGTACGTTGGCTTGGTGGGTAAGAAGGGAATTGAATCTGAATCCGACGTACCCATTGTGATCTCTGGAGAGGAATTTATGAGTTGGGGGATGGAAGGAAATGCAATTTAAATCGAATGCACCTACAGCGTTTCTTCTGGGGTCGGGGAATGAGTGAGTAGCAGGCAGTGGTGATCTTAGAGATATTTTCTGTTTCTGGAAAATGAAAAGGGAGAGAGGAAGAGGTTTGGTTGATCTACTGCCGATCAGTTGCTGAGTATTTTATTTAAGAGGGTTTGTTTGTTTTTCGGTACACCCGCTTCCTTGTGATCCTGTGAAGCCAGAAGAGGCAAGGAAAATAAGCTGAGGACAGAAATAGAAGAAGAGATG